CCAGCGAGGAGGGAAAAAAACCCCTGCAGGGCTGAAGCCAGCACTTGAGGTCAGGGGGTTTCCCACCAACTGTCTGACAACTTCCAGCTGGAATTCCAGCAAATTTTCCACTGACTCTTGTCTGGGAACATGCATGAGGGGCTGCACATCAAAGAAGGAGGGCTCTGTAACGGTGTTATCAGGGTTAGAGAGTATTTTTAGACCTGTGGTCATGCCTTGAAGGCCTCACTATGGCTCATGACCCCCACACACTAGATCCACAGCCAGAAGTCGAGCAGAAGCTGTAGATGCCCTCTTAGGAGCCCAGTCGGGTAGCGGCTACGTATGCACAAGCATTGGTAAGGCTGGTGACAGGGTCTGTGCCAGGCACAGTGCTCCCCTGCTTTCCTGCTGGGTCTCCAAAGTGTGGCGATGCTGGGTCTTACTGGCCAGAGTCGATGTGCTCCAAACTGCCGAGCTGGGTGAGGAAACAGGCAGGACCACGGCAGCAGCCTGATCTCCTACAAGGGCACAGGCATCCACCTCCTGTGCTGAGCAGCTTCTTCCCAGGTGAGAAAAGCATGGAAAAGCTTCACCACACTTTGGCGGTGGAGAGGCATCAGGGTGGAGCACGGCACATTGGTATTTTTGGAAGGCTTTTGCTGTGGGATTCCTTGTAAGAGCTCTGCACCGGCTGGCTCTTACACTAAATACAATGAATTCAGCCAGCGTAGACATCACAGCTTCTCCAGCCACTGCAGTGGTTTTGCAGGGACAGAGTTTTTAGGGTTCTCTAGGACTTAATGGAAAATTAGAATTCATATAGGAGGAGAGCAGATACAGCAGGGGGACTGAGGCTCGGTGCTCATGAACAGATCCTTTTTGCTTTGCCCTTGTTTCACAGTACAGATGACTTAATGCCTGTAGAACTCGTAACTAATTGCTTAGCCTCAGACTTAAGATTAGGCTTAGACCAACTTCTCTATGACTTCACAAGCCTTGCATTTAGCTCTACCAAGCTCCCCAAACACCCTCCCCTCCCTCTTGGCCTTCAGCACATCCCCAGGGACCCCCAGTGCAGTGTCTCTGCTGTCCCAAGGCACCTCCTGCTGCCCCACATCCTCCTGGCCACTGCCCAGCCCCCAGTTGACGTAACAGATGCTCCAGCTGGATTTCAAAATCACGGCCGACCCTTGGCATTGGGGTAGGGTGAGTCCTTATGTGCGCTGCTGCAGCCCCCAGGGGAGAAGGGAAGGCTTGGGGAGGAGCGGGGGAGGAGGAAGGGGATTGCTCCATGCCACCAGGATCTCGTTAGCATCAGGACATGTAGGTGATAGCTGGAGGGAGACATCCGTCCATCCGTCCATCTGTCAGGAGGGCAGCCTGGTGCCCAGCTCTGGCCACGCGGCGCTGCCAGCCTGCATCCCCATGCCAGGATGGGTGGCACCCCTCTGCCAGTCCCTGCAGGGCATGGGTGCTGAGCGTCTGCTCCAAAAATCCTCTGCCACAGAAGGAATCATGGTTTGCCTTGGCAACCGGGGTTTGATGGAGCTCTCTGCTCCTCCCTCCCCTCAGCACCAAGCCTCGGCTGCAGCTTAAGCCTCTTCTGCAGCTTCTCACTAAGTTGATTAATGGAAATAATTGGTCTCTTTGTACATCTGGAGACAGTTGCCGTGACAGCAGTTGTATTTTTGTTTTGTTCCCAGGTCGAGCTTGTTTTTCACATCCCACATCTTCGAGGTGCTAATAAATCAGGCAGGGCACTCCGGTTCCCCTCCCCACCTCTGAAAGACGCACATCTCTCCAGGGGATGGGGTGGCAGAGCTGGGTGAGGCACGCTTGCACCTTTCTCCCCCCCATTTTTCACGCCTTCAGGCCAGGCTCGCAGTGGGTGGACACAGGACTTCTGCACAGCAAAGAGCAGCGAGCCAAAGCCCTCGTGTTCCCCCAGCCAGTCCCTGCAGGGCATGGGTGCTGAGCGTCTGCTCCAAAAATCCTCTGCCACAGAAGGAATCATGGTTTGCCTTGGCAACCGGGGTTTGATGGAGCTCTCTGCTCCTCCCTCCCCTCAGCACCAAGCCTCGGCTGCAGCTTAAGCCTCTTCTGCAGCTTCTCACTAAGTTGATTAATGGAAATAATTGGTCTCTTTGTACATCTGGAGACAGTTGCCGTGACAGCAGTTGTATTTTTGTTTTGTTCCCAGGTCGAGCTTGTTTTTCACATCCCACATCTTCGAGGTGCTAATAAATCAGGCAGGGCACTCCGGTTCCCCTCCCCACCTCTGAAAGACGCACATCTCTCCAGGGGATGGGGTGGCAGAGCTGGGTGAGGCACGCTTGCACCTTTCTCCCCCCCATTTTTCACGCCTTCAGGCCAGGCTCGCAGTGGGTGGACACAGCTCTCTGACTTCTGCACAGCAAAGAGCAGCGAGCCAAAGCCCTTCTGTCCCCCCAGCACAGCCATGAGCACCCATCGCCTTGTGAGCCAGCACCCACGGGCCCCTCTGTCCCCTGCAGAGGCCCTTTCAAAGCTGTAAGGACTATGAGGGTACAAGTCCCTTCTCCATTACTTTTATTTTCTCCCAACTTCTTATTTAACTGCCTTTCTATGTCAACATATTTTTACATGAACACAACCAGTGACTGCATGAAAGATCTGCTAATGCCTGAACTTGCAAAGCAGATGAACCACAGCCCAGGCACTTTAAATCCTTCGGCTGCAAAAGCCTCACGGTTGCTGTTGCAGGCATTTTCCAGGAAGACTCAAGCCCCTGCTTGTGATGTGCGGACACAGCCACCACACCTGGGCCATCGGGTGGTTTCCTTTGCAGTGGGGATCCCCTTCAGACTTGGGTTCCCTGTGGTCCCCCAAATCATTCAGGGAGAAAAGTCCCTGTTGGATTTCACCTCAAAGGCGGGAAACTCCCCAGTGGTCGCACAGCTCTTCTGACAACACCAAGGCACTGACCTCTTGAGTGAGCATCACCTTCTCAAACCCCACTTGAATGCCTGGCCCAGGGATGCTCACCCCCAGCACAACCTCCCCAACATCTTGCAGGCTTCCCTGGGCAAGGAGAAGTCAAGTGCATGCAGAGGGGATGCAGCTGGGGCTACGTTCTAGCACAGATGCCCTTGTCACCTATGAAGGAAGGGGAAGCCACAACAGGTTTTGATGGGATAGCTCTAGTTTTGGGTAGAGGAAGACTCTTCTCCAAGGACAGAGGTAAGTGAGGATGAGTCTTTATTTTTATGCCTAGCAGGAAAAGAGCAATTTTGTCTAGCTTTTCTTTGTGATTTGAGGAGCTGAGCTCTGTTGCTGTGTGAAAGCAGTGCTCGCATGGCTGGGAATAGGAGTTTAGCTGGGAAGAGGCATTGTACAGGCTCTAACGATGAAGTTTTGGCTGCTGCTAGTTGAGGAGGCTCTGCCTAGCACAGGGTGGATGAAGCTGAGGGCCACCTGCCTTGGCTTTTCCTCATCCAGGCTTGCACAACCCCATAGCAACTTGCATCCAAAGAGTCCTTCTGACTCGGTGTGGTGTAAGGGGCTGAGTGAGAAGCTGTGAAACCTCCCGAGGTGCGAGAGCCCTGGCAGCTCCCAGTGGTGCCTAAAAATAGCCAGGGCAACTCTTAAGAGCGTCACTGTGGAATGAGGCTGATTAGCAAAGGCAGGCTTAGCTCTGCTGCCTGCACAGCAGAAAGCCACCCGTAGGACTCCTGGCCCAGGGCAGGGGCACTGCTTGCCTGGGAAGACGGGGGTGGGGGAAGATCTGACTTTGGGACCGGTGAGAAGGATTAGGCGGCCGGGACGGTGCTACTGGTGCTTTACAGACAATAGAAATGGCAAGCATAGGAGTTATAAATCGGCTGGCAGCGAGAGGTGGCTAAGCTAAGCCCTTTCGGTGGCCCCGTGCTTCTGTTACCCACTGAAATGAGCACTTTGGCTGTGCGACCCTGCTGGGATCCTCACCTGGGCAGAGAAAGCTCTGCTGGCCTGCACACCCCCTTCTCTGAATATTTCTGTGATGGCTGGAGAATTTTTGTACATCTGTGTCAGGTGACAGCAGCTTCTGATCCCTTCTGCAGGCAGGGTAAATCTGCATAAGTCACCAGGGATATGGCATGGAGACACGAGCTGAAGCGGCACTCGAGACATGCCTGTAGCATTACACTGGGGATGCTCAGTAATCACGGTGAGTTAAAGTCTCAGAAAAGGGAAAGCTTCTAATGAAATGAATTGTCATCTCTTTTATGGTCTGCTGAAATGAGGACCATAAAATGCCTGGGTGTAGAAGGACATGGGGTGCCTCTAACGTACATGGGAAAGATGCTGGGTACGAGACCAGTCCTGCAGGAGGAATGTCTACATGCACTAAAGAGTCCTGAGATCCTGGGTTGCCAGGTCTGCAAACACGGCCGTGGCAGCTCTGTGTAAGGGGAAGCTCAGTGCAGGAACAAGAGACAGCAGCAAGGTGACCTGGGGACTGAGGAGATGCTCTGAGCGCAGGAGCCAGCGGACTGAAACCCCAGCAAGGACTGCCTGAGCTGGCGGATCTGCCACTTACACAAGCGCCACAAGAGGTTAAGCTTTGGGGGTTCCCTGGATCTTGCTGGGCTGGCCCTCCACACAGAGCAAAACTTGCTTACACGGTTATGTACGGGCAAACAACATTCCCGTGCAAAGCGCGCGGGCAGCCTGTGAGCAGGATTTGCACACAACATCCCCGTCGCTGGCAGGGGAGAGGCCATGGGGCACGGCTTGCACAAGGGGCTGCCCTTAGGGCAGCATTGGAACGTGGCTTGGTAAAAGTACATGGCTGTGAAGTATGGAAAATACAGCAGGAAAGTCATTACAGCAGAATTGTTGATATTTTTTTCCTCTTAGCAGCTTTCTAGCATCTAGTAATTCAGAATACAGAGGGAGGTCAAATGATTCTATGAAACAGGAAGGAAAAAACCCTTTCCTGTGTATGTAATATCTCCTGGTGACTAAAAATTGTATCCATCCACAGCGTGAATCCCTACCTGATTTAGTTGACTTTCCTTCTGGACATGACTTCAAACAAGCTTCATACGCAGCAGGGCAGCAGCTTCTGGGGAAGGAAAAGAAAATAAACGTAAGAAAACCTTATGTGCACTTTTATTGGGAAGCATAAAGCTCAGCTGCTTTTTCCGCCATCTGTGACCAGGGCAGCAAAGGGGACGCGGGGCCTGGCAGGGCTCTGCCCACCAGGCTCAGCTGGAGCCTGGCTTGGTGAGCAGGGAGACGCCACACAAAGGGCTGCGGGCCGGTGATATTCATGTGGCACCTTCTCGGGAGGGTTTGTGCTGGCAGAGATTTGGCCTGCTGTGTCTAAGAGCAAGGAAAGTCCAGCCGGGGGCCTGGCTTCACAGAGAAGTTCTCTTTGGTTTTGCTTCTCCTTTTGTTAACGTCACGCGGGCGTGCTGGGGAGCACCGAAGCGACTTGCATCTCCTGACCTGCGCCACCGGGCGACCTGGCCACTGCCTTGAGAGCACAACCGAGTCTTGGTTTGCAGCTCCACTGCCCTTTAAAGAAGTGAAACTCCCATGTCAGCTTCTCTGAGGCAGAAGGGGAAGTTTGATCTGGTACTTTTAGCCACCTTGCTTCGTCCGTCTTCTGCTCCTTGGGTTTCTTTGCTGTCTGTGCACAGCTGTACCACCTCCCCCTGTCCCCAAGCCCCACTCAAAGACATTTCCTCTGTGGCCTTAACATCTGCGGGTGCATTGCAATCTCCTGACCTGCAGAGCCCAGCCAACAAGACACTTGCTTATTTTAGCAGCTGTTTCAGCTTTCAGACTTTTTGGAACATCATGGGCTGTTTTTTTCACATTGTCCCAGGGACAAATATTAGCAGAACAGAAAGCAAGAGATGAACCATTTAACCGTATAAGCAGCAGCGCATCCAACAATTCATCTGTCTGGCCCATCTGGGTTGAGCACCACTCTGACTAGAACAGTTCCCCATAATTTTCCAAGCTGGGACAGATCTACAGCCTCTCTATTTTTTTGACCCACTTTTAAAACTCCCTACTTGTTGGAGCTGACTACTTGCTGGCTTTGGCCCTGCTTCAAGGACAGGGCACTTGCTGCTTCTGTGTGTCAGTTTGCCCATCTGTTAAATGGAGCTATTAATACTCACTCCCCGCGCTAGATGCTTCAAATATTTGTAAAGCATTTTCAGATCTGCAGATGACAGGCTTACAGAAGTGGAAAATACTAATTATGATCATGACAGTAGCCAGACAAAGACATGGGGATTTAACAATACACTTTTGTTAGTGTTTACCCCAATTTACAGTCAAGTGCTTACTGGAAACACTGGAACGGAAAAGAAACAGTATTCCCACAACTCTGGGAATATGCATCACCCATTTGGGGCACCAAGCAGGCAAACAAAAGCAGGAAGGAAGAAAGCCAGCTTTGGAAATCCACGCGTCTTTATTTTCCCTCTGCCTTCCTGCCTTGCTCTGGCTCGTGTGTTACGCAGCCCAAACAGTTAAACCTCCAGCACTTCAGATGTGTTGCAAAATATCTCAAAATACGTGGCCCTCTGCCAGGAGAGGCTTAAAGCAAATTGGAGCAAGGATGCTCTGAAGAAGTTATCACTGAGCAGCCCTGTTCCTGATGGGATGTGGGGGGGAACCCCCATTTTCTCTTGAAAAAAGCTGATTTGGGAGACAGAAACACTTTAGCAACTGGTATTGGCTTCCCAACCCTGAAGCCCTGGCTCTGGCTAGCCGTTTCTCCCCACAGCCCTTGCTTGGGGATCTGGAGTCCGCAAATCTGAAGCTGGACCCCTTGTTCCATCCCCAAAGGCTCATTCCATCCTGGGCTCATCCCGTCCTGCTGCTCCTGGGGCGATGGGCAGAGCTCTGAAGGTCCGGCTGTGCAAAGGCCAGGCAATATCCCACGCAGAGAGTTTGGGGATGTAAAGGTGGTGAGGCGGATAAGTCCATGCAGTGTGACTAAGGATGGGCTGTAGTAACCTGTTAAGGACCATTTTACATTTCCTAATCTAAGCCTATAATCCATCAAGGTAGCACAGGTTGTTTTGGGACCCCTGTGGAAATGGTAATGGCATAGCTAAACATCCATAACCCACCAGGAATGAACCACAAGGGCATCAGCATGATGCACACGTTTGGGGTTCAGGTTCCCTCTGTGTTTATCAGCCGTTACCCAACAGGAACAAGCACACAAAACAAACTCAGTGCTCTTATACGTTCCAAATGAACCCAGAATGCTTTTTGGCAGAATTCGGCATTATTCTACACAACAGCTGTTCTGGTGCTGCTTTTGATCCAGAGAGGAAATCCTCTCTGCTTTCAAGCAAGGTGATGGCAGCAGAGAGAAGGTCGTTCTCGCCTCTCTGGACTCCTGGGTAAACAAGCGGCTGCATGCGTCGCTGAGCAGGACAGGAGCCCAGTCCTCCCTCATGTAGTGCCCTGTCCCCAGCAGCAGCTGGCAGCCTTGGCATCAGAGGTGCAAGAAAAGATGTAATTGTAGTGGAATGTTTTTCATCATTTACTAATTACCCTGAACCAGGGGGGGTTTATAACCCTTAAAATGCAATATCCTCTTAATCATACCCGGGATTGCTTTGTTACTGAGAGCACTACCTGCTATCTATTAAAACGCCTTCTGAGCTCTTTGTTCAGCGATATCTCATGGCAATGAGCACCACAGATTAATTACACTTTCTGGAAACACTAATTCTAGTAAAGTTGATGACGCTCTGGTGGGGATATGTTTGGCTTATTACGTCACTGCAAATATCAACAAATGTTGGTATTTCGGCGCCCGCCAGGGAGTTCCCAAGGCAGCGGCTTGCGACCAGCAACATGCCTGCATGCAAGCCAGCATGGAGGAGCTGTGCAAAGAGCACCAAGCCTCTCTGGGATGTGCTGGGAAGGAAGCGTTTGGGAACTCGCTGTGCAAATCAGAAGCCGCTGGTGTAAGATACCTATCCCCGTAGGCTCGAGAGGAGCAAGAGTTTGGAACCAGAGCACGGGGTGGTTCACCATCCAACTGCTGTTCTTCCTGCTTGCGCTGCAGGTGCCAGCTGAGTGGCTGTGTCGTGAGGAGCTGTGGCCAAAGTCCACACAACAGCTCAACCTTCCCGTCTCACTGGCTGGTGCCGGGAAGCCTTGGGAGCAGCTCCCTTTATGACTTAGCTTTTTCTAGACATGGGCTAGAGACAACCAGAAGCATGGGGGTTTTTTTCTCCCTCACCCTCTCTAAAATGGGTACTGTGATGGAAAATTCATTTTCTGGATCAGTCCATATGTACAGCTTTGGTGACGCTAAGGAAAACCTTAGTAGTGTGGAGAAACAATTGGGTTCAGGCTTTGAATGTGAAAATGGGAGAGACTGGAACAGGGTGGCACAGAAAGGCAAACAAAAAGCTGGGTCGAAGCTCCTGCTGTTCCTTATGGACTTGCAGATTCATCCCTGATTCTGCCAGACTTGTATGAGCCCAGGAAAATAATCTGCTTTGTGTGTAACCCATGTAAAATAGCAATAACGCTGGTGTTTGGTGGCCCAGACAGGCTGGAGGGATTAATGCACAGCAGAATGCTGCAGGAACTGGCTCTGAAATGTGGGAGATCAGGAAATGTTAGCAACTTGGAAAACATTTGCCACAGTTACTTTGGGGGGGCAGGGTTGTATGCCTGTGGGTATTCCTCTGAGCAGGCTCAAAAGCAGATTTACTTTTCTTTGAAATAAGAGGACAAAGGAAAAAAGCAAAACTCTGCCTTCTAGCTCACCACGTGCCTGTAGACCTCAGAATCAGCCACTGAGTACAGAAATAGCGGGTGGCTGGATGATGCATGGCTATGAGTGTTCTTGGGTTTCCATCTCTTCATGACCAAGCTGCCTGCACTGGGAGCCGATGCACTATATTTAATGGTCTCCAGTTCTTTGAGGCATCTGAGTCCGCACTCTCTGGAACGTGTCTCTGAAAATGATGGCATGGGGGACTCGTACATCCACGGGGGACTCTGTCTGAAGGACTCAGTGCCCTGTTCTGTGCTCGAGGTGTATTAAGCACTACTGGTGCATCCATGTTTGTAAATGGCCATTTAACCTACATCTGCACTACAAATTAATCCAGGCACTGAGGATCTCTTTATGCATCCTTCTTTCCCAAACATCATTCCTCACGAGAATAGAAACACGACAATTTCTCAGTTGGGTGGCCACACATTAGCACGGTGGCCCTTTCCAGCCAAGAGTTTCGGAAGCCAAGGTGTGCCCCACAGCTATCCAAGCCAGGCACCCCAACCTCACTGTGAGCCCAGAGCCTGAGGGGCTGCAACCACCTGAGGGGCTCTGCCACCCAGTCAAGCCATCCCCGCTCCTCTCCCCCTTGAGCTGCCGCAGCATCCCCACTGCGGCTGCCTCTTGCTCCTCTGACCCCAGCATGTCCTCCTCCTCGTTTGAATCACCAGCCCAGCCACCCAGGGCATTGCTTCTGGGTTAGCAGCTAAACTTGGCTCTTGTTCTGCAGAACCATTTACCCACCCTGAGCAAAGAAAAATGTTTCCCAAACACCCCTTTGGGGCCAAGGCATTGCATGCATGTGAAAGCTCACCACCGCGGCTCGCTACCAGCTGCTTAGGGGAATCCAGAGAGAGGAAAGAAAGGCACACAGCTCCGAGGTGGAGGAATTTGCAAAGCTTCCTTAGAATACCACCACACAGCGGTTCTTTTTTTATCCCAAGTCTTTGCCTTTTAAAACATTTGCTTGGAAAGCTGGATGCCAGGGAGTCTCCGAGCCCGCTTCCACCACCGTGCTCTGCAAAACTCCCGTTCATGCCCGCAGTTCGAAGGGGAGCCCTGGGCAGCCCCACAGCTCCCAACAGCCCTAAGGATGGATTCAGACCAGGGCACCACACGGATGGCACGCTGGGCGCCTGTCCCGCAGGCCGGCGTCCGTTCCCGTGCGAGCACAGAGACGCCCCAACGCTGTAAGGGATTCCCCCCGGCAAGTCGCTCGGAATAAATGGACACATGTCAGAGTGAGGCCAGGAATCCCCACGGGGGCCACCCATCCACGGTCCTTCGTG